AGAATCTACTAAGTACCAGGCACTGTACTAGGCAATGTATATATATTGTATCTAACTTTCAAACTAACCTTTAAAGATATTATTGTCTTCATTTTATAGGTAAAGAAACCTGAGACTAAAGTTAAGTAATAGGTTCAAAATCACAAAGCTAGTGAATGACCAAGCTGGAATTTTAATCAGTCTGTTTGACTCTAAAGCCTGTTATTTTTTTCCTAAAATTAAACATAGCAAACGATGTATTTGTAACTCTTAACAAAGTCTAAGCCAGCCCTATAAAATATATTAAATCTTGTTTTTCTAGTGCATTTTAAAATTGTAATAGTCTATCTACTAACTTCAAAGAACTTAGATGTACCTACAATTCAATTTAACCTTTATCTTAAAGTTAAAGAGATGCCCATTGAAAGGTTTTAGGCAAGGGGATTATATGATTAGATTTGTGTTTTTGGAAGATTGCTCTGGCTGTTCAGTTGAATGGGTTAGAACAAGATGGGACTGGAGGCCAGGAGGTCAGGAGGCCAGGAGGGAGGCTTTTTTATCTACAGCATGAGGATAGGGAGAAGTGAATGACTCTGTGACTATTCAGGAGGTAGCCTGGATCAATCTTGCTGACTGATGGGGTACAGCAAGTCAGGACAGTTAGGAATCAAAGACAATGCCCAGGTTTCTGTGAGGACACTTTCCTCTCTGTTGTTAGGATAGGTAGGCAGGGTATTAGGAGGAGATTTACAGATGAAAATGATGGGTGAATTTTGGACATACTAGGTTTGAGGTGTTTGTGAAGATGTTACAGTGGCCTTCGGATATTCAGTTTTGAAATTTGAGAGTGATGTGGACTAGAGATTTAGTTTTGGAAGTGAGCACCATGTCAGTGGGTAAATAAAGCCACCGCAGGAGATGAAATTGCACAGGGAGGGTATGCACAGTGAGAAGTGCAGCGAGTTGAGGACAGACCCAGCAGAACACCGACATTTAAGAGACAAGTAGCAGATAAGGGGTAGCTAGAGTCGAGGCAGTGTGGTGTCATAGAAGAAGTGCTTCAAAACAGGAGTGACCCTAGTATTGACCCAAAAGAAATGAAAACATATGTTCACACAAAGACCTGTACACAAATGTATATAGCAGTTCTGTTAGTATTTGACACAAAGTGGAAACAGTGTAAATATCCATCAACTGGTGAATGGATAAATAAATTGTGGTGCCTCTGTACAGTGGAATACAATTCAGCAATGAAAAGGAACTGCCCATACACACAACAACATGGAGGACTCTCAAAAGTGTTTGCAGGGGGCTTCCCTGGTGGCGCAGTGGTTGAGAGTCCGTTTGCCGATGCAGGGGACACGGGTTCGAGACCCGGTCCGGGAAGATCCCACATGCCGCGGAGCGGCTGGGCCCGTGAGCCATGGCCGCTGAGCCTGCGGGTCCGGAGCCCGTGCTCCGCAACGGGAGAGGCCACAACAGTGAGAGGGCCGCGGACCGCAAAAAAAAAAAAAAACCAAAGGGGGGGCTTCCCTGGTGGCGCAGTGGTTGAGAGTCCGTTTGCCGATGCAGGGGACACGGGTTCGAGACCCGGTCCGGGAAGATCCCACATGCCGCGGAGCGGCTGGGCCCGTGAGCCATGGCCGCTGAGCCTGCGGGTCCGGAGCCCGTGCTCCGCAACGGGAGAGGCCACAACAGTGAGAGGGCCGCGGACCGCAAAAAAAAAAAAAAACCAAAGGGGGGGCTTCCCTGGTGGCGCAGTGGTTGAGAGTCCGTTTGCCGATGCAGGGGACACGGGTTCGAGACCCGGTCCGGGAAGATCCCACATGCCGCGGAGCGGCTGGGCCCGTGAGCCATGGCCGCTGAGCCTGCGGGTCCGGAGCCCGTGCTCCGCAACGGGAGAGGCCACAACAGTGAGAGGGCCGCGGACCGCAAAAAAAAAAAAAAACCAAAGGGGGGGCTTCCCTGGTGGCGCAGTGGTTGAGAGTCCGTTTGCCGATGCAGGGGACACGGGTTCGAGACCCGGTCCGGGAAGATCCCACATGCCGCGGAGCGGCTGGGCCCGTGAGCCATGGCCGCTGAGCCTGCGGGTCCGGAGCCCGTGCTCCGCAACGGGAGAGGCCACAACAGTGAGAGGGCCGCGGACCGCAAAAAAAAAAAAAAACCAAAGGGGGGGCTTCCCTGGTGGCGCAGTGGTTGAGAGTCCGTTTGCCGATGCAGGGGACACGGGTTCGAGACCCGGTCCGGGAAGATCCCACATGCCGCGGAGCGGCTGGGCCCGTGAGCCATGGCCGCTGAGCCTGCGGGTCCGGAGCCCGTGCTCCGCAACGGGAGAGGCCACAACAGTGAGAGGGCCGCGGACCGCAAAAAAAAAAAAAAAGTGTTTGAAAAGGGAGAGAAGCCAAACACAAAAGGCTACATACAGTTTGATTCTATTTACATGACATTCTGGAAAAAAGCAACACCATGGGGACAAAAATCAAGTCAGTGGTTGCCAGGGGCTGGAGATGAGAGGAGGGGATTGCTATCAGGAGACTCAAAGGAACTGCTTGGGGTGATGGTAATGTTCTGTATTGTGACTGTATTGTAACTACTAGGTAGTTACACGACTGTATAATGTATCTGAACTCACAGACCTGTACACCTGCAAAGGATGAATTCTACTGTTTGTAACTTCTGCCTCAATAAACCCAACTTAAAGTAAAAAATACAAAAAGAAGTGGTCAGAATGTCAAATGCTGGTCATAAGTCACACAGGAAGAGGACTGAGAGATGCCCATTGCATTCAGCATTGGTGACTCTATGGTGAGCAGGGTCAGTGGTACCCAGAAGGCAAAAGCTAGAATGCTAAGGATCAAGGAGTATGGCAAATATTGCTGGTTGTCCCCCCAGTATCCATTTCCCCTTCTTTCATGGGAATGGAGCCCCTGACTTTTGGCTATGCTATGCTTCTGACTATTCACATGGTCATGTGAATTAATTCTGGCCAAAGAGATGTAAGTGAAAGTGTCCTGAGGCAGCTTCTGGGAGCCTTCCTTAAAGGGCAGCTGGTACACTTCCTTTGCCTCTTCTGCTTTGCTTCTTCCACCTTTGTGCTGGTTGGGATGCAGACATGGTGGCTGGAGCCTAAGCAGCTAACTTGGATCATGAAATGACTTTAGGAAGGGACACCACAAATAAAAGAGCAACATTTTGGAGGAGTCTGGGTCTCTTAGCTCTTTGAGAGCTGCTAAACTGGTCCAGGACTCTGAACTTACAAGAGGTAGAAAGACAAACCTGTTTCCTGGTTAAGCCTCTTGATTACTCACAGCTGAACTTAATTATATATGCTACAAGGAATAAATAGGAGGTAAGGGGGTAGAGATGGTGAGTATGGGCAATCCTTTAAAGAGGCTTGACTATGAAGGGGAAGAGTAAAGATAGGATGGTAGCTGCAGAGGGACATGGGCTGAGGGAGGGTTTTCTGATCTCCAAATTCACACTGGATTCTCTGAATGGAAACCTGGAGAAGATCTGTAATCTCTTTCCACAAAATATCTCTGTGAATCTTCACTGGGTTTGACTTTGTGGCTCACTTTCCAGAGAGAAAGGAAGGGAGTGAATCTACCCAGAACGCTTTGCGCTGTTTTCCTTTCAGTCCCTTGAGTATGTAGAGCTCTTCCCCATCTAGAGCCACCAGACAAGCTGATGGCTGGTTGGAATGCCCTTTCCCCTGTGGCTTGCATTGTCTTAGCCATTCCCCCTCTCATGCCAGTCCCTTCAGGGGGGCTTTCCTGAACACCTTTCCTTAGCTGGTCCACTTCCCTTTGATTCTCCATCAGAGTATTTTTTTAACTGCCATAATGAAATACAATTATTATATTTACCCAGAATGTACAATTTAATGCTTTATAGTAAATTCAAGAGTTGTGTAATCATCACAAGTTAATTTAAAAACATTCATCACAGCATTTTACTACTTAATTTTTATAGCAATATCGTCAGCCTGTGATGATGTTTATTTTTTTCTTTCTCTGTGCTTTGTGCTTCTGCATTAGCCTGTGAGCTCCACCAAGACAGGGACCGTGATGGCTATACTTAGGGTTGCATCCTCAGCACCTAGCAGATACCTCCTCATAGAGGGGCCGGGCAGTAAGATACAGTGAAAGCCTGAAGCTTGTCCCATCTACTTTTCACTGCAGCAGGTGCAGGGCCCCTGGATGGGGAGCCAGGTTCCCACTCGGGAAACCGTTAGGAGTAGAGGATTCTCAGAGGGGGTGTAGGGAGGGAATATATGCCCCAGGGAGGCTTATAACCGTGGGGTGGGGCAGTGGTAATTTGGGAAACCATATTCAGTATGTCTTGTTTTCAAAGAACCAATTAGGGAAAGTAACGCTGGGCAGTATCTTTCTGGCAAGCGGGAATACGCAGAACGTGGAGTGATAAGAAGGGCGTGGGGTAGCCAAAGTGATGGAACAGCGCATTAACGCGCCGCAGCGCAGCTGGAGTTTACCTTGGGAAACTCAGATGCATGCCCACTTAGCTGGCTCAGCTACGTTTCCGAGCCTGTGCCCAGCCTGTTGGGGGCAGTACTTGCTATTTGCAGAGGCCAGATGCTTCTTCCTCTTGCAACTTCCGAGCTGCAACCTTGCCAATGACTCAATCGTTTTCCTGGGCCCTGTGGGCTGTGCCACCCGCCGCAGCCGCGCACCTCCCCCTCCCACCGGTCCCCGGCGTCTCAGGGCCGCGCCGCGCGTCCCAGGGGAGCCGCCAGCGCACCTGGCGCCTCGGGCGCCGGGGCCCTGCGCGCTGGTGGCCACATCGCTCGGCGCGCAGCTGCCAGCGCGCTCCCTCCCCAAACACTTAAGTGGAGTGGCTTGTCTAGTGCCCAGCGAACAACATTATCCAATTGCTTCCCGTTTTATTCGCAGGCTGGGAGCTGAGAGAGCCTGAGCTTTCACTTTCAACCCTCAAGGGGAGGAGGGGGTTCGGGCGGGGAGGGGAGACGCTCCCGGCTCCACCTCGCGCGCCGCGCGACCAGAGCGCCCGGCTCCGGCAGAAGCGAGCAGCGCCGTAGAGCCCCGCAGCAGCGCGCCCGGCCGCCTGGAGACCCGCGATGGAGTGAGTATCCAGCGCAGCGCGCTCTGTTCGCTGCCTTCCCCTCTGTATGTTGCTATGGCGACCGAGGCAGCAGGCTGACCCCGGCTCTGGTCCCGGTCCCGGATAAGTGTTTAATTTCAGTCCGGTGTGTACGCCTGGCGTTTCCATAGCAGCAGCCGCGGCGGCAGGAGCCAAGGGGTAGGAGCCCCGGGATGCGTGGTTTGGGCCGCTGCCCCTTGGCCAGCAGGGCCTCGGGAGGGGACGATGTTGCTAAGGAGAGAGGCACGTTCTAGGCTTCCCCGTCCCTGCCTCAAGCTTCCGCTACTCAGGGAGTTGACCGCAATAGCCATTACTTCCGATTCCTAACCATGTCAGCGCTATTGGACTGCAGTTAAAAAAAAAAAAAAGGAGTGTGTGTGGGGGGTGTCACTGCGGATCAGAAGCAAATGTGGCTGGGTGTGAAGCGTGTAATGGAAGGATGATGAGTTAGTGGGTAATATGAGCCAGAGCTGCAATGCCCTGGCTACTAGAAACCACGAGGACCTCCAAATAATTGATTTGTTCCTGGGGTAATTGAGAAAAGAGACAGAACCCTAGGACTGGCAGCCGGGGGTTGAATTACAACGATTGGTACGGTGGGCACCGCATGGGAGGGGTGGAGGAGAGGGCATGAAGGCAAGAGGGGCGTTAACCAGAAAAAGCACAAGAGAGGGCTCCCGTGCAGGCTCGGACTAGGGCTCCTCTCTCCTCTGCCTTTGCATCCCTGCGTTGCCTTTTGGTCGCTCGCCCAGGTTGCTGCCGCAGCAAAGCCACTCTGACAGGCGACAGGCTCCAAGAAGGGGTCATTTTGGGAGCCAGCTGTTAGATACCTGCTCACTTGGTCAGCTTCTCCTCCTCCTTCCTCTTCCCACGGAGACTCCCTGACACTGACGCTGTATGAAATCGTATTTCAGCCTGGAGATAATGCCCTGTTTTCAGGTATCAGGACTTTCATGCCAACCCCATAAACCCTAGATGCAGCTTTTACTCCCCCCCCCCATATCTAATTGTGTAGATGCAATTTAATCCTCCCCAACAAGACTACTGAAGCAGAAATGAGAGATGGAGTGGCATTTTAGCACTGAGAAGTTGTAGCTTTCAACCTCTGCCTTGGCTGGTCCTAGTGCTATTGATTTCCTACACCAGTAAGTTGATGTCTCTGAGCCTCAGTTTCCCTATTCGTACAGTGGAGATAAAGATGTTCCTTACTCATTTTTTTTAATGTTTTAAAATTTTATTTATTTGTTTATTTTTATTTTTGGCTGTGTTGGGTCTTCGTTTCTGTGCGAGGGCTTTCTCTAGTTGAGGCGAGCGGGGGCCACTCTACATCGCGGTGTGCGGGCCTCTCACTGTCGCGGCCTCTCTTGTTGCGGAACACAAGCTCCAGATGCGCAGGCTCAGTAGTTGCGGCTCACGGGCCTAGTTGCTCCGCGGCATGTGGGATCTTCCCAGACCAGGGCTCGACCCCATGTCCCCTGCATTGGTAGGCAGATTCTCAACCACTGTGCCACCAGAGAAGCCCCCTTACTCAT